AGTCACAGGAGCATGGGTGAGGGGTTACAGGGGCATGGGTGAGGGGTCACAGGGACATGGGTGAGAGGTTACAGGAGCATGGGTGAGGGGTTACAGGGACATGGGTGAGAGGTTACAGGAGCATGGGTGAGGGGTCACAGGGACATGGGGGAGGGGTTATAGGAGTATGGGTGAGGGGTTATAGGAGTATGGGGGAGGGGTTATAGGAGTATGGGTGAGGGGTTATAGGAGTATGGGCTTCTTATTCTGGCCATTGAGAGCTTCTGACAATTAGCACTTCACATTTTGTTTTTGCCACGAAGGGACACAATTCAAGGGTGACCCCTGACAGCAATGAGTATCAGCTGAGTTTAGTTCCTCCTTTTAGGGCTCAGTTCCCCTTTCCCCAGCCCAACAACATCTACAGCTTCATTTACTACTTCCCTTTCTTCTGCATAGAGCTTCTAGCAGGTTCTGCCCAGAAGAGACACTGAGCGGATGTTTATGAAAGCTCTAAGCGTTACCTTTCTTTAATTTCTTTACATGGATAACTCTCTGGTCCAGTCTGTGAAGTAGGACTGTCACTGTGTCTGTCCCAAAGGAGAAGGAGCTGATGGAGACATTCTCTGCCCTGAGGCTCACAAACAGGAAGTCATAGAATCATGATTCGAACCTAGGTCTTCAGGTTTCCAGAGCCCCAGATGTCAGGTCATTCTTGTATCCCTAAGAGTGTGGAAATGTGGTACCACAGTCCTGTGAAAAGATTTCAAGCACATGCATACATATTTTTAGACTAACAACGTACCAGCTTAACACATAAACAGAGTGTCACTGTCACCTCAAAACAATAAGAAGAGAAAAAAAAATACAGCTGGGACCCTGTGGTCACACTCACTGTTGCTACATACTCAGTCTGCTGTTGGAGGGGTCTTGGCTAACTCTGGAAACCCACACCCTGGTTCAGAGGATGCCAGGCACTCAGGTTGTAACCTTCTTTGACCCAAATGCAGGAACTGGAAATGGTCCTTGAGGTTCCCGATGGGGAAGGGGTGGTGTGAGAATAATTATGAGAACAGAGATGATTCTTCTCAGAGACATCAGAGAAACTCAGCATTGATGATGTTCATGCTACTCTTACCCGCTCCACAGCTGTTTCCATGGAGCTACATAGAAACTGTGCCTGGCAACTGGTTTTCTGATGCACCCTTCAACCCTAGAAACGCCATCTGAAAATAATTGTCCCTGCATTTGGGTGCTGGCATGGTCAACAGGGCTGCTGTTCTTGATTCTTATCTGTAACTCTGCTGCTGGGTGTTTCCTGGTCACGTAGCTATTGAGCCAAGTTAAAATGGTATCAGACAACTTCACACAATCTACTAACTTTTCTAAACCTTATAAATCAAACAACCTGTTAATTTATTGATCTAGATCCTCCGTCTTACTGTGTATCCCTGGCTGACCTGGAGCTCACAGAGATCTGCCTGCCTTTGCTGCCCAAGAGCTGGGGTTTAAGATGGGTGCTGCACTCTGTTCATTTTTGCTTTTTCAAATATATATATTTTTTTAATCTTTAGGAAAAGAAAAAAATTCAAGTGCAGCTGATCTTCAGCATGAGTCTGCCTCATTTCTTTATCTTAATTCAAGGACATGCTCACTGACAGGGAATTTGAAGCCAGACCAAAGATGCATAAGACTCTTTGAAGAAGAGAGAGAGAGAAAGAAATTAAGAGAGAGAGAGAGAGAGAGAGAGAGAGAGAGAGAGAGAAAGAGGGGAAAAAGGGAGGGAGGAAGGGAAGAAAGGAAGGAAGGAAGGAAGGAAGGGAGGAAGGAAGGAAGGAAGGAAGGAAGGAAGGAAGGAAGGAAGGAAAAGTAAATTGGAGACGATACTGTTCACTGCTTAATGTCTTTCCGCCATTTTGTGTCAAAAATGGCAGCCAGCAATGCTCTCCTGGACAGAAGGCCTCAGAGGCAGTGCCTCAAGCACTAAGTTACTCTTAGGGACACAGTTTTGCAGACAGTTTGTGAGAAGAAAACTTCAAGTTGAAAATAACAAACTGAAGAAAGAAAGTGAACCAAAAGCAGAGTTGCTTTGGGCAGAAATTCAAAGCAGAGCAGCCAATGCTGTCCCCAACCTGGTGCTGCCCCAGAGTTGATCAATTTGCAAGCCCAGCAGCCATCTCCACTGGCCCCAAAGAACTGATAAAAAGGGGGTGGAGGAAGGTGAAGTAGAGAATGGTAAAGGCAGGAGATGGGGAGAAGCCGCACCCTGAGTACTGGGAGGTTTTGGGCATGGGGTCTGGATCTTTGAGCAGATTCCCTCATTCTACCCCAAGCAGATTCTCTGCATAGAGAAGTGGGTGCCAGAAACGCTGCTCCAAGAATAGTTACTGCCGTGCTGGTGAACGGTGTTCCCACGGACCAGATGCAAAATCAGATGGCGAATTACTCAGTTACCCTAAACCTGCAAAGGTGTAGTCGGTGATGTGCTAACGGGGGGTAGTGGCAATCCTGGCTCCTCCTATGGGCTTGTCTTCCTTGGGACAGATGACCTTTGACTCTTTTCTTGGAGAGGCTGATGAGGAGATAAATCCCCAAAAGACCTTGAGCAGATCAACTTCGACTGTGTCCTAGGAATGAGCGAGCATGTGGCAGCATTTAAAGGAGCTCCTTGGAAGTTGGAAGGGCAGGAGGTTGGCAGGGCTCAAGCCATGACCAGGAGCAGAATGAAACGAAGAAACACTTCAGAAGGGAAGTGTTCTGGAGAGAAAAATCAATAATGATTTTTTTTAAAAGACCCTTATTTGCACAGATAAAAAGAAGAAACTCCCTGTAGGGAGTCAGGCCTGCTTGGAAAAATTTATACCAACAGTTTTGTAAAAATCCAAGCTTCAGAGCATCAAACACACTTCGAGTTAACAAGCAGTGGGAAGCTGACCTTATATTTTTGGCCAGGTGTATTGGCTCGAATTAGCATGTTTTATGTGTGTAATGCCCGCAGACTGGGCAGATGGGTAACTGACAGGTGAAAGCTGGCGAGCACACTGACTTTGCAGGTACAGCTAATGCTGCGAAGAGCCATGGCCATGAGAAGAGAGAGTGGGCAGGGCGGCAGCTGAAGGAAATCTAAGCGACCGAGTGAAAAGGTTAGTTAATTACCCAGCTTCAGGAAGACCAGGAAGTATAGTATTCCAGAGAGAAGGCTGGCTGCCAATAGCTGTCGATTTGATCTGTCATATGTAAGTAATACAGAACAAGCAAAATTAATCTGCTGACACAATTCTCTTTAATGAGAAGGAGGTTTATTACAAAGAAGGAACCTTAAGGGCGTGACTGGGTCTCAATGTAGGAGGAAGAGCTAGACATAAACAGTACAACATATGGAGATCTCAACTTGGTGGGGCCTTGAAAGGGAGGAGACCCTTCCCCTGAGAGTCTTCAGAGTGGAGAGTAAGGGGAGTGGGACAGAGGCCATCGGAGCCTTTTCAGCCCCTCCCCCCCCCACCTCTACGCAAACCCACACAAACCTCCCCAAGGGTTCTTCAGACTCAAATCCCCTGAACAAAGGAGATGTCCACCTTTTAGATTTAGCAGGAAGTGTTCTGTTACGTGATTAAGTTCAGCACAGTAAATTTGTCAGAGAGCCTGGAAGGGCAAGGCACCATGGTTGAGAACACCGTGTTGTTCAGGCACAGCACAGACAGCTTCTTAAATCTGTCCAAGAGAGCTGTTGTGAGGTGCGGCCTGACCCAGACTGTGGGGGTCTGGCCTAAAGGTGCCGGTCTTCCTCCTTGCAGTAATGAGACAGATGGCGGTAGACCTCTAAACACCAGGGTTTGGAGGGTTTGTGGGTTGGTAAGCACTGGGGATGCCTGGATGGTGATGGCCAAGGCAGAGCCTTTTGTGCCTTCAGCTTTATAAACAGCTCTTATTATTTCAAAATAAACACCAACGGTTTCTCTGAGTTCTGTGATTTGCCCTATCCAGTCATCTAACTCAAGCTGAGGAGGGGTGCTAGGGACTCAGTTTATAGCAAACTGATCAGAAGCGTAGATTCCTACCTAGGGAGTATGGGGTAAACCTCTGGGGCCCTGCCCTGCCCTGTGGTATATGTCTCCAGGTAGGTGATGTCAAATGAACTGAACTGTAGTATACCCAGCTGGTATTGCAAACTGGCTTGGTGTAGGGCTCTATCCCACAGAGGGACATATATTGAGTGTTAAGTAAGCAGTTTGCCTGTTTTTCTATTGCAGTTATTTGTGTGTGTTGCATGCATATATGTGTGTATTTGTGTGTTGTGTGCACACAGTGCGTTGTGGGTAGCTTATGTTTGCATCTTTGTGTGTGTGTAGTGTGTGTGGTACCTGTCATACATTGTGTGTGTCTGCGTCTGTACGTGTACTTGTGTATATGTGATATGTCACACATGTATGGTGTATTGTGTGTGTTATCTGTATGCATTGTGCGTGATATATATATATGTTGTCTGGGTGTACACTGTTTATCCGTCTGTGTTGCAGCTGCTTCTTGTTTGGAGAGTCTGA